GTGGCTAGTCGAGAACCTTCTGAGTTTTATACAAGTGCACTATTTTATGTACTGGGTTTGTGCTGAAATATTCTATTGAATATTGAAATGCTACACAGTGTTTTCTGTCTTAAGAGTGTATAATGGAATAAACTGAGATTTGTTTAAGAGCCTCTCTCTCTCTCTCTCTCTCTCTCTCTCTCTCTCTCTCTCCCCCCCTAGACTCAGTCCCGTGCCAGTCTCTTTAAAAAAAACAAAACAATTTATTAGGATATATTTAGACATGTTAAAGATAAACTTATATTCACCATTACACTCCTAACCTATATCCTACCCCCCACCCTTTCCCCCTCGTCCGGCTTCCAGCAGTGCTCCGACCTCCAGCCCCATACTTCAATATTCAATTTTCCCAAGTCTACTTTTTCCACAGGTAACAGTTACTCAGAATACAAGGTAAAATTACACCAATTGTTTTTTACATCTCCGTTCTTTTCCAAATATTCTTTCTGGTCTTTCGAGCCTTCAAAAAAATCTTCTGCCTCCATATCTTTCCATTTTCGTGTCATTTTGTCCATTTCTACTAAGAATAGTAGTTTTCTTATCCAGTCACTAACTTCCGGTACCTGATCTTGTTTCCAATATTGGGCATATGTCATTCTTGCAGCAGTAATCATATACCACATTAGAGTTCTTTTCCTATATTTATTCCATGTATCATATAAGTTCCTTCTAATGTAATGATACTTAAAAAAACCGTCAGCTTTCTGTTTATCATACCATATCATACCACAAATAAGCATGCTAACCAAATCTACAGTCACGGCCTTCCAGTCTCCACCCAACCAAAGAAAGAACTCAGGAAAACTGGGGGGGGGGGTCCCAGGAATCCCTGGAAGGTAAAATCCTGCCAACCTAGCAGTTCGAAAGCAAGAAATTGCAAGTCGATCAATAGGTACCACTTCGGTGGGAAGGTAACAGCGTTCCGTGCGCCTTGGTGTTTAGTCATGCTGGCCACATGACCACAGAAACGTCTTCGGACAGCGCTGGCTCTTCGGCTTTGAAACGGAGATGAGCACCACAACCCTAGAGTCGGATTCGACTGGCTTTCGAGCAAGGGAACCTTTACCTTTTATAGATAGGGACTCTGGGGCAAGGGATGCTCTGTATTCTTGGTGCTTGGAGGGGTCAACAGTGGGAGGGCTTCTAATGTCCTGGCCCCACTGGTGGACCTCCTGAAGCCACTGGTATTTCTGGCCACTGTGTGACAGAGTGATGGACTGGATGGGCCTTTGGCCTGATCCATCATTGGCGTCTCTTAGGTTCTTATGCTCTAATCACAGAGATGTGTCCACTGAAATCAACAGGATTTCCTTCCAAATATTCTGCTTAGAATAGAGATGTTAAAATCAGAACGGCCACTCGTTTGTCAGGCAGACAATTCAAAAGATCTTTGCACAGAGAGAAGACAGAAGAGATTGGATTTATACCCCGCCCTTCACTACCCAAAGGAGTCTCAGAGCAGCTTACAATCTCCTTTCCCTCCCCCTCCCCACAACAGACACCCTGTGAGGTAGGTGGGGCTGAGAGAGCTCTGAGACAACTGCTCGTGAGAGAACAGCTCTGAGAGAACTTGTAACTGACCCAAGATCACACCAGCAGCTGTATGTGGAAGAGTGGGGAATCAAACCCGGTTATCCCAGATTACGGTCTGCACTCTTAACCACTACACCAAACTGGCTCTTACAGACAGTAAGACTTTCTTAACTATCCTTTTAAAAACCACCTGACCACAAGAAGCCAGCAAGATTTGAATGACAGCCTTTGTACATGTTCTTTCTATTTTAAACAAAGGAGTTAAGGTATCTGCAGCAAGGGTAGAAGGCCATCAGCCCAAGAGCAGACTTTGGCAGAAGCCGTACACAAACACTTGGGCTACAAAGTTTGAACTCGCTGCTCTTTGGCTAAAGCTCCGCCTCTCGGTCAACAATATTGCTGGCACCAGGCCGATGATGTGAAGCAAGAATGAGAACAGCAAATCTTTTAGGTCTCCAAAAAGGCTTTTTCTGCCCTGCTCAGTAATAATACTTAGTATTCATATAGCTTTTAGACAGTTTGGACGATAAGAATATCAGAAAAGCCCTACTGGATCAGACCGGTGGTCCATCGAGTCCAGCATCCTGTCTCACACGGAGGCCAATCAGTTCCTCTGGAGGGCCAACAACAGGGCATGGAGGCCAAGACCTTCATGAGAACATCAGAAGAGCCCTGCTGAGTCAGACCACTGGTCCATCTAGTCCAGCATCCTGTCTCACACAGTGGCCAATCAGTTCCTCTGAAGGGCCAACAACAGGGCACAGAGTCCAAGGCCTTCATAAGAACATCAGAAGAGCCCTGTTGAGTCAGACCAATGGTCCATCTACTCCAGCATCCTGTCTCACACAGGGGCCAGCCAGTTCCTCTGGAGGGCCAGCAACAGGGCAGGGAGGCTGAGGCCTTCCCCTGAGAAGAACACAAGAAGAGCCTGCTGGGTCAGACCAGTGAGGGTCCCTCCAGTCCAGCATCCTGTCTGCAAATAAGTTATGCTAATGAGTTATGCTAATGAGCTCAGGCCCCTCTTTTTCTACAAATTGACCCCTGCTCACTAGACAATGCCAATGCCTTCCATCACACATGAAGTACAGTTCCCAAGTGTCAGTGTGACCACATGCAGGTACTATACATTCAGTTTGTACACAGGGTCAAGCTGTGGTTTGGAACGAGCACTGTGCTCACGTGCGCCCTCCTCTCCTTGTAGGCACATAGCCACGCAATGACTTCACTACAAATCACGGTTTGCCGCAAGCTCCAAGCTTGGTCTTCCCCTCCACACCAGGATTGCAAACTATACTTGAAAGCTAGTTTACAATTCTGCGTTTTGAGCCAAAGGGCAAACCATAATCTGCCCATCAGGAAGGAAATACAAACTGCAGTTTGGGTTAAAAGGGAATGACTCCAAGCATACAAGGGGAGGGAGAAGGTGAATAAACCTCTATTTGAAAACAAAACAAACCAGAAAACGACCCTCCAGATAATGTCATGCTACCCTTCTTGCTGACAGGCATTCCCATCCCCCCCCCAAAAAAAACACATTATTTCAGGGATTTATACCTCTGATGTCCCTCAGTTTCCATAATAGCATTTCAAGATTAGTCAAGAGAATAAAAGTTGCATTTTCAGGAGCCATGGAGTTGAGAGCTGTGGTTACGGTGTGAAATACCAAAGTAAGAGCTACCTATCATTTTGGAGAAACGCATGCATTCCTTTTCCTTCAGACAACTTAATCCATCGTCTTAAAGCCATACCAAAATGTACTGAAAACTATTCTGAAGTACGTCAACTTCATGGAAGACCCAGAGTGAATTTGGATGTCCTTCCCCAAAGTAGGGAATTGGAGGACAAATTTCTCAAGGCATGGTTTTATTGGTTGAATCATTGATTTCCCTTCATCTGGCACCCGAGGCAGTCACAATACAAATGTGCACAACAGAAAAACAACAACAACAACACAGACCACACAATAAGGGACTCTAAGAACCCAGGTGGCATAATAATACAGCAGCTAACAAACCCTGAGCTTTAACTCTTACACCTGTGACATACAGACAACGGTTCAAGCAGAAGGATTCTGCTGTGAGGTGAAGTCTCCCTCAGCAATTCTAACGGGAAATCTTTAAAAGTGTGTACATTTCAGGCTTTATCAAATGCCGCAAAATCTCATGGACAGGCCGTTAACCTCGACTAGAAGCACTGCGATCACTTGACAGATCTAGAAGCATTTGGATCCCGAAGGGAGGGGGGAGGTGTGAAGCGACCCCTACAATGTGAAAGGGTGGGACCAGCCAACTGTATGAGTAGAAATTCGAATGGGAATGCCCGCAGCACATCTTTCGGAACATCCAATTGTTTTCTCCTCACCTGAAAACTAATCTTTGTGTTTTCATAAGATCTAGGGAGCGGTGGCGCAGGCAGTAAATGCCTGCAAGTAAAACTATCTCTGAACAGCCTTAATAGCTGTTCGAGTCCCACCGCGGCTGGGGTGAGCTCCCGGCCCTTATCCTAGCTCCCACCCACCCAGCGGCTCGAAAGCCCGTAACGGCAATTAGACAAATGGGTACCCACTCCTTAAGAGTGGGGGGGCACCCTACCTCCAATACTGGAGGGCAGCGACAGTGGCTGGATGATGCGGTGAATCGATGAGCAGTGAGCCGGCAAAAGAGAGAACATGGCGACTGATCGACGGCAGACGGCAGGCGACTCGGGAGGCGATTGGAGGCGGCGTGGAGGTGTGGTGACGTAAGCACGGTCGGAGCCCCCGGGACAGAGACCAGTTGCGACCTCACCGTGCAGCCATGCGCCATAAAAAGGACCATCCCAGGAAGCCGAGCCGAAGAGACGGAAAAAAGATCTCCGCCAAAGGACACTACCTCATGGTCCTAGCAAAGCCCCCGCCACAGAAAGACCTATGCTGCTCAGGTGCCTGGTAAGGCATTCATCTCCCCTGATATGTATGTGGCCCTAATTAGACGATTAAATGTATATGTGTAAACCGCTCCGAGCCTCCAGGAAGGAGCGGTATAGAAATGTAATGTAATAAATAATAATAATAATGGACAGCAGCACCCTTTCCAGTTGTGGCAATTCTGGTGCTTCCGCCTCATGTGCCAGGAGAGTGCGTGAACAGGGCAATGCACAAGAAGATAGAGAACCAAGATTTTTTTAAAAAAAAAAAAACTGGGAAACAAAAGTGTTGCCCTATTCATGCAAAATGGCAGCCATGCGTATCAAGAGGATCCCACCGAGTACGCTCTCCCAGTATACAAGGTAGTAGTGCTAAAACCTTAAGGACGGGAAAGGCTTCGACAGCCATAAGAGTCTTTATTTACTTATTTGTCCATTAGACTGTTAGACCCCTCCCCTCCCCCGTGCATACAAAGTTCAGGGCGGTGAACGACAGTAAGACACATTCATAAATTTATGCGAGGCTATCCTCGACGGCAGCAGATGGACAGCGTGGCAGGCGGCCTCTTTCGACAGGAATTAAAGTTGATGAAGACTTGCTGAACGGTGGTGGCACAGTCCTCACGTGGGCTGGCGGGCTGGATTCCCAAACAGGTCTACAAGGGCAGGGCCACAGCCAATTAAAGTTGATGAAGACTTGCTGAACGGCGGTGGCACAGTCCTCACATGGGCTGGCGGGCTGGATACCCAAACAGGTCTACAAGGGCAGGGCCATAGCCAATGTTCCCTCTAAGCTGTGGAGTCTTGTGAGCAAAAATTCTAGTTTGTGAGCTACTGGCATTAAAGTTGTGAGCGAGCGATTTGGCTACTGCATAAATTAGTCTGCTCCGGAGCCCTCCTTCCTGAGCTGAGACAGAAATGTGTGAGCCAGAGGCTAAAACCCTGTGAGCTGGCTCACACTAACTCAGCTTAGAGGGAACACTGTCCACAGCAAGAGAGGGCAGAAGCCGCTTTGTTCCGCTCCCTCAAATCTGCCACGGCCTGCAAAGCCCTCGTTCCTCCTCGGCCAACTTAACGGCCTTTGCCTACAGGAAGGTGCCCTATGTGATCAGCCCCAGGACGGACTTGGCAGAAACTCTTCACAGTACAAGAGCCAAAGCAGACATTGTGTGTGACGCGTGTGTGTGACATGAATCCAGACACACAACTCACAATCACAGGTTAAACGGGTGCCTTGGAAGCACTCCGTTTGGGTTTGGAGCAATGCTCCCTCTAAGCTGTGGCGTCTTGTGAGCAAAAAGTCTGCTTTGTGAGCTACTGGCGTTAAAGTTGTGAGCGAGGGATTTGGCTACTGGATAAATTAGTTTGCTCTGGAGCCATCCCTTCCTGAGCGAAGGCAAAAAATGTGTGAGCCGTAGGCTAAAAAACTGTGAGCTAGCTCACACTCACTCAACGTAGAGGAACGCTGGTCTGGAGCTCTCCAAGGTGGGAGAAGGGGCCTCCAGTTTCCCTCCCGCGCCACTTTCGCCAGTGGAAAAGATCATGGAGGAGCTTTTATGCCCATTTCTCTAGTTCCGCATGTCCCTCCTCCACATGCCATGTCATACGTATTGTCTACTTCGGCTCTCATCCAAAGCTCTTTCCCAATCCAGCTGTGATCTTTCAAACGGTGACAGCCAGGGACCCAGTTTGTGAGCTAGCACTGAGCAGGGTTGAAGCTGCCTGCCAGCCAATCTTTGGTTTCCCCGCAAAAAATACTAAAAAGATACTAAAGGGATACACCGCCCCTCCTCTTCCCAACAGCCAACCTCCAAGGCCTTCCCTCCAGCACCAACTTTTAGATTTCAGTTCGGATGTTGGATTTTCTGCTTCCTCACAAAGCTTTCTGCTCAGAACAGATGTTACTAAGGTGCTGCAAACGAAGTGTTCAGTTCAGTAAACCCACTGCCAAGAGAGCGTGGAAATGCATTTGGCAAACACCATAGTACTGAAAGAGGACGGGAATTTATCAAGAGCAATCTCTGAAATGAAAAACTCTTGACAAAACTCAACTAAATGTCTCTATGGGTCTCTCATTTGAGGTGGAACTCTGGGAGAGTTGGGGGGGGTATATATATGAGCAAAATACCAACGTCTTTTCCACCACCATCAAGCCAAGGAGATCTAAACCCAGAAACCTGTTGATAAAGGCTATTCTACAACAAATAGAACTAATCACTGGCTATACTGTACCATTCACTCCAGAATTGATCTTCCTGGATGACTGGCAGAAAACAAACGTACCCAAATTAAGACAAGAGCTAATAACGAGTCTTCTAGTAGCTGCGAAGACTTCAATAGCGTCTGTATTCTTTGGCTCCAATGAGAAACAATTGGTTTAAAAAGGTATGGGACCAGTTTATATTGGAAAAAAATAACAGATAAGGCTCAAAGATCCAAAATCTCCCCAAAGCAATCTAATTTTGACGAAAAATGGTACCCATTTTTGGACTACATTCTTACGCAAGATTGCCAACCACATAACCCTCTGTATCATACTTTGATTTTTTCTTAATGGCAGTCTTTTATGCTAAATATCTCCCTCTCTTTCATTCTTACATTCTTTTATATTTACAAATCTATGTCCGATCGTGGAAATCTCTGATCCCACTCATATCTAATATACATAACACTATCGAACATCAAACACAGTCTACTTCTAGATGGTGCGACAAGGCCTAATCAAACTGCGAATGTTTTTAAAGGTAGATAGTGCTCATCCCGGAACAAAAGTTGTTATTGTGAGTGTGATAAAAGAACCTGATTCAACTTATGTATGTGCGCTATGATTTACAAATGTACTGCTTGATCTTCAATAAAGTTTATAAAATCAAAAAAAAAAGATAAAGGCTATTCTTAAATATTGCATTTGCTTTCAGCAGCAGAGAAGGCAATCGGCTTCTTTAGCAGCAGACATCAGACCAGAATGGATTGTGGCGCAAGTTTGGGCTCTTACCTGGGGGCAGTCCTTGATGTAGTGTCCTTTGTTAAAGCAAAGATGGCACAGGTAGTTGGGCGGTGGTCTCTTGCTGGGCTTTCTCGCTTCCGATGAGAGGGATATGTCGGAGAAATGTTCCGTGAGGGAGCTCAAGCCATCGACGATGTTATTAAGGGAGCCATAAGGAGAGGCACTCTTATACAGGCTGCTGCTCAGGGCCTGCCAGAGAGAAAAAACAATGCGGTGATTCTGGTGATCTCTCTGTGCCAGTTAACAGTTGAAGCAAGACTCTTATTTAAAAAAAAAAAGGGAGAGGGGAAAATACAAGGTGCTAAAGTCCATCTCTTGTCTCCCCATGCCCAGTCTTGCACATGTGCGCATGTGTGAGGGAGACCCTTAGTAGGGCACCCAAGCACTTTCTCTCTGCTGCCAGTCCTTGGCTGGCCATGCATAGTGCCAAGGGTATGGAAAGATGCTCGATAATTGCCTTCTCTCGCAGGTCCGTCCACACTTCCCGTGCACAAGAAGCCACCAGCTACAGCTGCACACAGAGAGGAGAAACGGGTGTGGAGGCAGCAGAAAGTGCCGTCAAGTTGCACCCAAACTGTGGCGGCCCCTCCTGGGGTTTTTCAAGGCAAGAGACATTAAGAGGAGGTTCACCACTGCCTACTTATGTGTAGCAACCCCAGACTTCCTTGGTGGCCACCTATCTAAGTACTAATCAGGGTCCACCCTGCTCAGCTTCTGAGATCTGATGAGATCAGGCTAGCGTTGGCTGTCAAGGTCAGGGCAGAGGTGGTTTGCCATTTTCTGCCTACGTATAGAGACCCTGGACTTCCTTGGTGGCCTCCCATCCAGTTACTAACCGGGGCTGACACTGCTTGGCTTCCAAAAGCGGGCTCGCCCACACCATCCAGGTCAGGGGAATTGAGGACAAATGGGGCACAAATTAAGGTTATGCAACAACAAAGACGCAAACATAAAAAGAAGATATATCACTCTAACATTAATATTTATCTGACATGTTACAAAAGACAGTCCTGCTTAGCATGTCACCTCCTTGCCTGAAGAAACGGGGTGGAGTGGAAGTGAGGACTTAACCAGGGGTCATTTCCTGCAGGAGCGCACAGGAGCGGAGCTCCAGCAGTAAGGAGACCAGGGGGTGGGCGCATGCAACAAGCCCCGCCCCCTGCTCCCAGCAACCCTCAGTCGGGCCACGAGGAGCAAGAAGCAGCCTGGTAAGGTGCAGAGCCCCCCCCCCGGTCCAAAACAGTCCAGTGGCACCTTTAAGACCAAGTTTTATTCAGGTACAAGCTCTCCCTCCTCTGCGAGGACAAATCTGCATGTTCCCCCCCACCACCCAATAGCTAGAAATCCAAAACAATCCAGTGGAGCCTGAGCAGTGGGTGTTGCCCTCTGACACACTTCCGGTGATGTCAGGGGTGTGGCATATGCAAATGAGTTATGCTAATGAGTTATGCTAATGAGCTCCTGCACCTCTTTTTCTACGAAATGACCCCTGGACTTAACACAGATTGGGAGGGGCTGTGGCTCAGTGGTAGAGTATCTGCTTGGCATGTAGAAGGTTCAATCCCCGGCATCTCCAGTTAAATGATATGATGTAAAAGACCTCTGCCTCAGACCAAGGGCCAGACTCAGTACAAGGCAGCTTCGTGCATTCATGTGATTGCAAGCCTCTAAGGGGTTAATCTTCTGATGTTGTAGCTTCACACAATCATAGCGTGTTTAGAACTCAGAGGGAAAACGTCAAAGAACTGAGCCCCCGCAGAAGAGAGCATTCTTGGCATGACTATTCAAACAGGACAATTTTAAAACCGGGGTGGGAGGTGGGGGATTACAAGCAAACTCCCAAAGTAATTGTTCATTTGTGACTGGTTAAAGAGACCTTAAAACACAGTGTTCCGGGTTTTATAGTCAAGTGGTAACAAGGAGAACTCTGATCTACATCTGTCTTAGATTTTTCTGTGGGAAACCTGCTGCGACTTAACTGCTCCCTTACGAAACGGCCCCTTGCGGTCTTTCGCCTCCGGTGCATCTCCTGTTGTCTTCGGCGAGAAGGTCAAACCCAGTAAAAACCAGGATCTGCCATCGCAAACCTTCTAGCCTGCAGGAGAACTCATAATCGCTTTGAAGGGAATTAATCATCCTCATACTGGTAGCAAGTTTTTTTTATTCTCTCTAATGCCCTTTGAGCAAAGACCTGGGCCTTCGTAAAGGGGTGGACCACCCTTAGCAAAAAAAAACAACAGGAAAGAAAAAATGCACAGCAACATAAAACATTGTGGGAGACCACAGGGAAGGCCGTCGCCTCTAGACTGGGAGGGTGGAGTTGCCTTTTCGCAGAGCGTAGCTTGGAAAATTTGCTCTTCAGAGCTCCTTGGATTTGACACCGCAAGGACCATCTATAAAGTAAACCAGGGCTCTAGTCGGGGGGGAGCTCTCAGGTACGGAGCTCCGGAAGAGAACCTCTAGGGGGTGGGGCGGTCACGTGGTGAAGCCCCGCCCCCTTCTTTACCCCGCCCTCTGCTTCGATCCTCATTCCGTTTGGGAATGAGGATGAAGCAGGAGGGTAAGTAGCCGGGCCTTCTGACACACTTCCGGTGATGTCAGGGGGTGTGGCCTTCTGTCACTTCCGGTGATGTCAGGGGGCGTGGCATATGCAAATAAGTTATGCTAATGAGTTATGCTAATGAGCTCCGGCAGCTCTTTTTCTACAACAAGACCCCTGAAGTAAACTATGGCAGAAAGCAATGCAAGGAAGCAGAACAAGCATGCGTGCAGCGCTGGATTAGCCATTAAGCAAATCAGGCACGTATTCAGAGCAACAAGAAAAGGGGGGGACGACAAAGAGGGGGGTTGCTTATACTCCTTACTGGCAGGGCTATTTTTGGGCAGGAGCACAGAGGAACGGAGTTCCGGCTGGCTCCTGAGTTGGCTACGCCCAGCAGGAACTCATTAGCATAATAGGCCACACCCAACAGCAGAAACGCATTAGGATTGGCTACATTAGGGTTGTGTGGCCTAACATGCAAAGGAGTTCCTGCTACAAAAAAAGGCCCTGGGTTTTGACAACAAACAAGGTAAACAGAATAAGAAGCAAAAGGTGGGTGTGGCTGGATGAGCACACTTCTGGTAACATGGGGGTGCGGCCTAATGTGCTAATGAGCGGTGCTGTCGGGGGTGTGGCCTAATGTGCTAAT